TGCTTTTTAATCATACAACTTGGCCTTACCTAGTGGTTCTCAATTTTGAATGAACATTCAAATTACAAGCGTAGTTGGTTTTTTTGTTTTGTTTTGTTGAGATGAAGGAAGTGAAGGAAGTCTCACTCTGTCACCCATGCTGGAGTGGAGTGGCATGATCTTGGCTCACTGCAACCTCCGCCTTACAAGGGTAGTTTTAAACAGCTCTAGTGCCTAAACAAGACTCCAGAGATCATGACCCCTAATCCTAACCCTACCCTGTGGTACTCACTTTATTCATAAGGCAGGGGGATCGCTTGAGCCTGGGAAGTTGAGGCTGCAGTGAGCAATGATAGAGCCACAGCACCTCCAGCGTGGCCGACAGAGTAAGACACAGTCTCTAAAAACAAAACAAAACCTTCCTATTTTAAAATAATTTCAAACATTTAGAAAAATCAAAAAAACAGTACAAAGAACATTCATACACTTTTTATCTAGATTGTTAATATTATGCCACATTTGCCTTTTCTCTACCTATCTATCTATTTATATGTCTTTACATCTCTTTATATACTTGCTGAAACATTTGAAAGTTGCAGATATCATCTTCCTATATTACAATACTTTATCTTTAAATTCAAATTCAGATTCCACCAGCTGTCCCAATCATATATCTCACAACACATTTCCCCCTCAATCCAGGATCACAAATTGGATTTGCTTGTTATTTCTCTCTAGTATCTATTAACCTGCAACAGTTTCCTAGCTTTTCGTTACCTTTCATGATGACGAGTTTTTAAAGGGTACAGGTTCGGGTTAGGTGCATTGCAGATTAGTTGAGTTGTAAAACTTCACAACAAAGTGCCAAAGATGACTTGGTGGCAGAGCTCACAACAGGTTGGAGATGCATAGGAGCCGCCGAGAAGGGTCTGGTTCAAAGGCCAGGGGTCGCATCGTTGCACAACTGCTCTATCAGCTGTAGGTCTGGGGACTTGGTAGCATGTCTGTGGCCCTAAAGTGTGTGGAGGATGTTGAGAATTTGCCTCGGATGGCAGACTTACAGGAAGGCAGGTTGGTATGAGGCCTGTCTAAAGTTCAGTTTGGCTATAGAGTTAGGGAAGGGTTTTAGGCCATGTCTGGGTAGAATCAAATTCAGCCAGCAAGTAAGGGGTCTTTTGGAGGTGAGCTTATGCGGTCTGGGGCCCTTCGAGGACAGCAGACTTGATGGGGAAGGGCTCTCCTAGAAGAATCTAGTTTAAAACGAGCAAACCACGCTGGTTCATTCTCCACCTTATCCTGGCACTCCCTAGGCTCACTGGTGGTTTTGGATTTGTCCCATCCCTGCAATTACTCCATAAAGGGAAGGTGCAAGGGAGAAGGGAGGAAAGAGATGTGAGTTCTGCCAGATGCTTCATTGTTTCATTCCCAGATTTATTTGAAACCAACCCACCTCCGGTACTTCATGCTCTCCAAGCTCATGGTCCTGAAACTTCACATTTACATAATATGGAATATTTTTTTATTACCTTTGATATTTTTGCAAACAACCTTTCTGGAATTCCTGGACCCCCTCCTTCTCCTGGCGAACTTTTCCTTCTCCAACACATGGCTCAGCCATTATCACCTGCAAAAGTGGTTCTTCCAGTGCTTTATTCCTCTCTCAGCGTCAGCACTTTGTCTTAACTTGTTACAGCATTTAGAATGTAATGTTTTGTTTTGTTTTTTAAAACACATCTTGGCTTTCTGAAACTTATACAGAAAATAATTTTTTTCCGTCAATAGATAAATGGTGAGGGTCCAGCCTAATGTCTGCCACAGAGAAGCCTAATGTCCAGCCTAATGTCAATAAATGTTTATTGTGGCAAAAATGAATAATTTTAAAATGATGCAGTGCTTAGGTAAAATTAGGATTATTAGCTTGAATCGTTTAAAATCACCATAAGAACCACATTAAATTTACGTGCTTTAACACTGGTGAAAGAAGTAATTCTGCTGTCTTAAGGGCAAAACTATATGAACATAGCCACCAGAAATACAGGAGTGCCATCTATTGGCAAACTTGTTAGCAGGCAGAGAAGACGCTGAGAACCCACGTAAAATATACTTGAAGTCATGTGCCCCTTATGTAGGTTATGTAAAATGTGGAAGAAAGATGGAAACAAAATTGAGAGACATGGTTATGGCATTTTCCAGAAAAATCGGAAAATATTTTCTTCTAATAATCCATGCAAAATTTAATGACATTTTTTAATGCAGAAGAAAACAGTGTAACAGAAAGCATTATAATTATGGCAAATTGTTGAAAGCTTTCTCCACTCCTGCCCTTTCCACCCAGAGTAGGAATGAAATAAGGATGTCAATTATCACACTTTATGTTCAATACTGTATGGGAGATGCTAGCCAGTGTACTATGGAAAGAAAAATAAATGTTAATGTTAGATGTTAATGATGTAAATATTTCAGTTGAAAGGCAAAGATTGTTAGAATTGATTTAAAAGTGCAAGAACCAAACATATGTTTGCTAGAAGTGACACATCTTAGATATAAAAGCACTGATAACTTGAAAATAAACATATTAATAAATATATACTATGCAAACAGAAAGTATAAAAAGACCAGAATGGTTATAATAATAACAGCTAAATTAGAGTTTAAGACAGAGTGTTACCAGAGACAGAGTGATATTTTGCATTGTTAAAACGGTCGGTTCCCAGCCTAGCCAACATGTCTCTACTAAAAAACAAAAATTAGCCAGGCATGGTGGCACATGCCTACAATCCCAGCTACTCCGGAGGCTGAGGCAAGAGAATCACTTGAACCCACAAGGCGGAAGTTGCAGTGAGCCAAGATTGCGCCACTGAAATCCAGCCTAGGCAACAGAGTGAGACTCTGTCTCAAAAAATAACAATAACAACAAAGGGTTAACTCATCAGGAAAACAGCAATCACAAATGTATGATTGTAACAACAGAGTTTCAAAATACATAACAAAATATCATAACAGAGTTTTAAAATAAAGTAAAAATGGAAAAAATATTTGGAGAGTTTAACAGTCTTTTTTTGGTAATGATGTAATAACTAGACAAAATATCAGTAAAGACACAGAAGATTTGAACAATCTTATCTGTTGTCTTGAGCTAATTGATTTACAGAACATTACAGCCAATATTTGCACGCACATTTTGCTCAAGTACACATGATATAGTCATCATGATAGATCATATTCTCTTTCTTCTTTCTTTCTTTTTCTTTTAGAGGTCAAAGTACCCGTAATAATTTCTTGACATGGTAAAAGAATTTTATGTTACGATCCAAGGGTGGTAGGGTGAGGAGGAGGGCAGCGGAACAATCCAACAGACAAAAGGGAAATGAGAAGCACATGGTGGGAAGAGGGAAGGGTTTCAGCTGGAAGGGATCTGGAGGGTGGGTGAGGGCACTGCCCAACTAAAATACAATTGGTTTGTTACTGAGTACTATTCGTGGGAAGACAGCATCCTGACTCCTTCTCTACAGAATATTGGGGGTAGAAGAAAGCCAGGTGGAAATATATTGGGGGTTGGAAGACAGAGACAGGAAGAATAAAAGTCAGAAACAGACACTGAGAGTCACTGACAGGCTGACTGCAGATACCAACTCTCCAGCAGTGGTGGAATAAAAGAGCTGGGGGCTGATGGGGATTAACACAAAAGCTATTAACAGTTAAGTGATATCTCTGGAAAATTCAAGAGATAGGAGGCAACTCTTCTATAGTTTTCACTTGCCTAACGCATTTCCACATACACACATGTATATGTATGTGTGTGCTTGCACACTATAAATAAGAGAAATAGTTCCCAAAAGGAAAGCCCAACATGAGCAGCAGCATCTGGACCTCACACTTGCAAACGCCTTCACCGCAGCTGACAGCGAGGAGTCAAGAGGACCAGCTTTTGCAATATTGCCAAAAAGGGCTGAGTCAGAGAGGGACAGGCCTTCTCCTAGTCCTCTGCTTCTCATCTCTCTGTTCTCCACCAACTCACCCTGGGTACCAAGAGGCTACAGTATCAGGAGGGAGGACAGGCCCAAGACGTTTGTCTGGGTAGATGACAACTAAGACAGCCATCATCTCCTGAAAGGTATGTGACAGGGATCGTGGAAAGGGAGGGTATGTTAGGTAATGGAGTAGGAAGGTGTGTGTGCACATCTGTATGGGTGTATACAGCACACATATATGTGTATGTCTGTATGGGTGTATACATGCACACATATATGTGTATGTCTGTATGGGTGTACACATGCACACATGTTGTGAACTGAACGCGAGCCCGGGAATCTCGTCCAGCGAGGGTCCCAAACCTGGAAGAGAGCGTGCACCAGAAAAAAGGAGAAAGAAAAGAGCGAGGTCTGGAGGGCCACATGAGCTATGTCCATGCAGCAATTTTATTTTTGCAATAGGTTCCATTATATAGTTTTCTCCTTAATGTTGTTTACCTCAGATCAAAATACTTGAGTTAAGTCACAAGGTAGGCAAGTTAAGCCCACTAAGTAAGTTACGCCCAGTAAGTAAGTTACGCCCAGTAAGTAAGTTACGCCAAGTAAGTAAGTTACGCCCAGTAAGTAGGTTATGCCCAGTAAGTAGATTACGCCCAATAAGTCAAGGTAAGTAAGTTACACCCAGTAAGTTACGCCCAGTAAGTTTCGCCCAGTATATACTTAATATTTTACAGTGAATGTAACAAGGGTCCAAAATGAACACAATGAAACAATAAACCATAAAAGCCGAAAGTGGACACAATGCCTCCCACAAGTCCTCATATCCATAAAGTAATGTCTGTTAATTATTTTGAATAACATAGTCCCTCTCTCTGTTCCTGCTTTCCCTCAGCTCGACTCCCCCAACCAGGGATCTGTGTCTTGGCTCAAGCTCACCGTATGGCGAGGCCCATTTCCTAGGGGCCTCACACGGGAGCGATCCCCACACACACATATATGTGTATGGGTGTATACATGCACACATATATGTGCACGTCTGTATGGGTGTACACATGCACACATATATGTGCATGTCTGTATGGGTGTATACATGCACACATATGTGCATGTCTGTATGGGTGTACACATGCACACATATATGTGCATGTCTGTATGGGTGTACACATGCACACATATATGTGTATGTGAAAACTCCCATCATAAAAACATCTGAAGGAGCTTGGGAATTGACTGAAGGCCTAAGGTGTTTCTTGTCATGATCAAGAGTCAAGGTGGAATGGACACAGATGCGAAGCCCTGAGTCACCACCAGGGCAACTGTGGGAGGATCCAGTGCCCCACAGAGGAAAGAGACAGTAACTTCATGTGTAGAAGACAAGTTGTTTCCCTCCGCCACCCCAGTTGCTAAAAAACACCTGGCACTTTCCTTCCAGTTCCCTCAGCTTTTAACCAACTAATCATCAAAAGGAAGAAAACATAAAGCCCAAGACAAATGAGGGAAGAGAAGAGTGGAAACACAAGTATTTGTATGCCAACATCGTGCACACACAAACCTTGAGTTGTCCAGAAATTAGGACAGGCTGGGTGTGGGGTATTAGGGAAGGAAATAGAAGAGTTCCTGAGGCCTGAAAAAAGAGGTAAACACCTCACAGAACTAGATGAGAATTTCATTAGACTCTAACTAAAAACAGAGGTGTCATTACTATTTCCAGCCAGTTTCCCCATCACGATAGTATGTTACAAACCAAGGCAATGTTGGTCTTGAGCCAGACTCACAGAGTCCCCTCGCCTCAGGGGCCGTTTGATCTTCTCAGTATTTTTCAGGATCATGGCATGTAGAGCGACATATTGATTCCTCAGCTCTGATATGATGAGCCAAAGGCTGATATATTCTTTCTCATCAATCTCTGTCATGGTGCGGCGATAGTCCTGAACGTGGGGGTATTCAGCTATTTTAGAAACCAGTTTGGCTCTTGTAATATAGTATCTAGAAATCGGTCCAGATAAGATGCAGCTTCACTCTCAACAGATCTTAGTTCGGCAACTGTTTCCTCCTGAATGGACACCCCAAAGTTGTTTCCATCTTCTATCCTGGGAATCAGGAGCTGTACCCACATTCTGACCGCGTTACATTTCTCAGTCAACAGCGGATCTCAGGTTTCACTTTCTCAATAACGTGCACCAGCTGCTGGTTGCTTTGCAGTGTCCCATTGGGCACGACAAACACCTTGATTCCTTGGAAAGCTTCTTCACACTCATCCAACCTACGCTTCTTATAAGTGCGACCATCCAGTCCATCATGGCTATTGGTGAGAAGAATGGGGTCAGGGACTGGGAGACTCATGTCAGAGTGGATCTGTGCTTGATCATGGATGTTTAAGATTGGTTCCTTCAGAAAACTATAAAGTTCTAATAACTTCTTTGTGAAAAAATTTGCCATCAAGTCTGCCTCTCTTGTGATCTGCTCCCTGAAAGAATCAACCTTGAGCTTCACTTCCTGATCCACCTTCAGCAACGAGGCCATGGCCGGCCGGGCCGTGTCCAATCCGCTGGTCACCAGAGGCGCTGTGGACGCCGGGGAGGGGACCGGGGGGACCTGAAGAATCTCGGCTGACCTCGGGATCCAGCCTCCCTCGCTGGCTCACTCACTGCTCACTCGTTCCTCCCTCCGCACCGTCTGCCCAGTCACTCTCTCACTCGCCCTCCCAGCTTTCACCGCTCATGCTGGAAATTGCCCTTTTTTCTTTTATTTTTAGTTGACATGTAATAATTGTACATATTTATGGGATAAAGAGTGATATTTTGATATGTGTACACAATGTATAGTCATCAAATCAGAGTAATTAGCATATCCATCATCTTAAACATTTATCATTTCTTTTGTTGTGACCATTCAAAATTTTCTTCTAGCTTTTTGATAATACACAATAAATTATAGTTAACTGTATGCACTCTACAATCGTGCAGAACATCAGAACTCGTTTATCCAATCTAGCTGTAATTTTAACCAACCTCTCCCTATCCTCCCCTCCTTTATTACCGAATGGCCATTATTTCTGGCTTAAAGGTAATCTCCCAGGTGCTCAGAGAGAGGAAACTTCAAAGACAGTTGTGGAGGGGGAGGGAAGAGAATCAACGAATGGCAAAGGTCACAAGGATATCAACCAGAAAGTGCTCATTCGCTAAGCCCAGATTGAGCCTGGGCTGCTATTATAAAATGACAGATTCTTAGCTGCTGAGTTGTGGCATTGGGCGGTTTCTATTGCCCTTCCCAGAAAGAGTCCTGAGCTTGCAATGGCTTGAGATGATTTTAAGAGCTAACTATGACATAAATCCCAAAATTCCAGTTCCTTGGATGGCAGAAACCAAGAGAAAGTACAGCCACGTGGTTACAAGGTCAAGCTCCAAAGGACATAAAACAGGATGAGAAGGAGACTTCATCCAGTTTTTAAATTTTTCAGGGACCTGTATCAAACTTTGCAGCTGACTAGTTTACTGGGCTGGCTTGAACAGCAGGCTTATGCAGTCCTAAGCCTGTTTTCTATCCTAAGGCATCCCTCTTTATGACAGAATGATACAGAAAGACAAATTGATAGACAAAGTATACCAGATTCATTACAATTTAACACTAGCCCCACAAATCCTTTTTCCCATTAATCAAAACTTTACACACGTGATAAACAGTGATTTTAACCATCCATTCCGTTTTCGCAAAGAGAGAGAGGCCAGAAGCCTGACTGGTAAGAAATCTTTACCCATTTGCTGGCATTCCAGGTTTCTGGGTTCTCTTTCCCTGAGCAGCCCTAGCAGCCCTGTTTGCTGCAAAGCCCTGGGGGCCAAGCTACCACACAAAGGAAAACCATCTTTTTCTGTTTCATGGAACCACAGGCAAATAAATGCCTCTCGTTCTTGTAAGATGCTGCCCAATGGTTGCATGAGGTAACCAAATCAACATTTTCCCCATTTTGGTCAGAGCAGTGTACATGTGACAAAACAGACATTAGCCACTCCACTTAGCACGCAATATCCAACTGCCAAGGCTCAAACTTGCCCCCAGATGGGCCCTTTCATCTTTAATCCAGCCTGTGACCAGGAGTTTCAACACGTGGTCTCTGAGCAAGATGGTTGCCCCAAGTAGCAGAAAAGATAGAAAAGAGAAAGCAAAGGGAGAAAAGCGTTGCCTGTGGTGAGGTAGGGAAGGTGAAGAATTCATAGAGGCCAGAGAAAGACCCACCCATTGCAGCAACACTGAATCCAAAGTTCAGGTGGCTGCTTGTCACAGTACAGGGATCTTTCCTAGCCGTCCCATCACCTCTCAAACTTCCCCCTTTGGGGAGAAGAAAAGTTCCCCATGCCCCATAATCCTGTGCATGCCTAATCCTGTCACCCATAGCTATCAGCAAAGAGCACAGGGCGGATTAATCTAAAGAGAACAGCAATTAACATCCCATAATGCTAAATCCATTTTTAACCACGAGAGAGTTTACTGAGAGGGGCTTCTAATCCCTTAAATCTTAAGAAGGACTCTAGCTTCCTAAATTGGGTCTTAAGCCCAAGTTCAGTCAAGTGTCCTTGCCTTTTATTAAGTGGGGCCTGAAACCATCTTTGTCTTAGGAGAGACCCTGTCTCCCTTAAGCTGCACCTCTAACCCAATCCCATCCTTTACCCTGGTCCACACAACTTACCCAAAGTCAGCCAATCGGTGTTTCAGTCTGTTTCCTTTGGCTTCCGGGTCTGCTCAGTCTCGTTACTTTGTGGTCACCAGAAAGATGCTACCAGAAAGAAGTCTTGACCCAGACCCCAAGACAGGGTTCTCGGATCTCACACGAGAATTTGGGGCAAGTCCATACGGTAAAGTGAAAGTAGGTTTATTGAGAAAGTAAGGAAATAAAAGAACGGCACTCTATAAGCAGAGCAGCAGCACGGACGGCTTGATGAAGGATACTTATAGTTATTTCTGGATTATCTGCTAAACAAGGGATGAATTATTCATGAGCTTTCCAAAAAAGGGATGGACAATTTGCAGAACTGAGGGCTCTTCCCCTTTTTAGACTATATAAGGTGAATTCTGGATATTGCCATGGTATTTGTAACTGTCACGATGCTGATAGGAGTGTCTTTTAGCATGTTAATACATTATAATTAACATATAATAAGCAGCGAGGATGAACAGAAGTCACTTTTGTGGCCATGTTGGTTTTGTTGGGTTTTGACTGACTTCTTTACCACAACCTGTTTTATCAGCAAGGTCTTTGTGATGTGTACCTTGGGAGGACCTCCTATCTCATCCGGTGACTAAGAATGCCTAAGTTACAGGGAATGCAGCATAGCAGCTCTCAACCTTATTTTACCAGGCCCCTATTCAAGATAGAGTCGCCCTGCTTCAAAGGACTCTGAGAAGCCTGTCTCCTTGCAACCTGGAATTCCTGGGCTGAAGCCATCTTCCCACCTCAGCCTTCTGAGTAGCAGGGACTACAGGCACACACCACCATGCCTGGCTAATTTTTTTGTATTATTATTATTATTTTATGAGATGGGGGTCTTACTGTGTTGCCCTAGCTGGTCTTGAGCTCCTAGGCTCAAGCAATCCTCCTGTGTCATCCTCCCAAAGTGTTGGGCTTGTCAGAGGCATTTGAACCAGAAAGACTCCATCTTGAATAGGAGCTGGGTGAAATAAAACTCAGTCCTGCTGGGCTGCATTTCCAGTAAGGTAGGTACTGTAAGTCGTAGGATGAGACAGGCAGTCAGCACAAGATACAGGCCATAAAGACCTTGCTAATAAAACAGGTTGCAGTAAAGAAGCCGGGTAGGCCAAGCACAGTGACTAATGCCTATAATCACTTTGGGAGGCTGAGGTGGCTGGAGCCATAGTGAGACCCCATCTCCCTTGAGCCCAGAGTTGGAGATCAGTCTAGGCAACATGGCGAAACTTGGTATCTACTAAAAATACGAAACTTAGCATCTCCTAAAAATACAAAAAATTAGCTGGGTGTGGTGGCACACGCCTGTAATCCCAACTACTGGGAGGCTGAGACATGAGAATCACTTGCACTTGGAAGGCGGAGGTTGCAGTGATGGGAGATCGAGCCACTGCACTCCAGCCTGGGCAACAATGAGACTCGGTCTCAATAAATAAATAATAACAATAAAAGAAAAGCAGCTGGCTAAAACGCACCAAAACCAAGATGGTGCTGAGAGTGACCTCTGGTCATCCTCCCTGTGACACTCACACCAGTGCCATGACAGTTTACGAATGGCATGGTAATGCCAGGAAGTTTCTCCATATGGTCTAAAAAAATGGTGTCATGGATAATTAAGAAATAACCATAAAAACGGGCAACGAGCAGCCCTCAGAGCTGCTCTGCCTATGGAGTAGCCATTATTTTATTCCTTTACTTTCTTAATAAACTTGCTTTCACTTTACAGACTCGCCTGAACTCTTTCTTGTGTGAGATCCAAGAATCTTCCCTTGGCCTCTGTTTCTGGACCCCTTTCCGGTAACAGGATTACAGGTGTGAGCCAGCACACCCAGCGTTAGCAAATTTTTATTTCCGTTATATATTTCTTCTTTATTTTCTGTTTTTCAGTTATTATATTTTAAACCCCAGAATTTTTATTTAGAGGACTGTATTAACAAATGGGGAGTACTGGGCTAAGCCTGGCACAAAGCAAATGTGGACAGAGGTCTGGCAAATGTTCCATGCAGTTTAGCTACCTTTAGGTGTATCATGACTAAGTGCTTCTGGGGCTTTGCAGGGAAAATGTCCTCTCAAACCCCCCACTCATTTCCAGCCAGAGCAGGCTTAAGTGAAGAACTCATCTGTGTCATGAGAGATGTATAGAGCAAGGAGACTTTATCTTTGTGGACAGAAAGAGTCGAACTCAGCATTTGAAGAGATTTACTCTGAGCTAAATGTGAGTGACCATGGCTCATGACACAGCCCTCAGGAGGTCCTGAGGACAAGTGCTCAAGGTGGTTGGGATGCAGATTGGTTTTATATATTTTAGGGAGGCATGGGACCAATGAAATAGTTTTAAGAAATTCATTGGTTTGGTCCAGAAAGGCAAGACTACTTGAAGGTTTTGACAATTGGTTGAGCTTGTATAAAGACTTGGGATTAATAGAAAGGAAAACTAGGGGCCGGGCGCGGTGGCTCAAGCCTGTTATCCCAGCACTTTGGGAGGCGGAGGCAGGTGGATCACGAGGTCAAGAGATGGAGACCATCCTGGTCAACGTGGTGAAACCCCGTCTCTACTAAAAATATAAAAAAAAATTAGCTGGGCATGGTGGCGTGTGCCTGTAGTCCCAGCTACTCGGGAGGCTGAGGCAGGAGAATTGCCTGAACTCAGGAGGTGGAGGTTGCAGTGAGCCGAGATCGAGCCATTGCACTCCAGCCTGGGTAACAAGAGCAGAAAAAAAACAAAACAAAGGAACACTAGGTTGTCATAAGAGGTTGTGAAGACCAAAGCTGTACTGTGGGATGAAGTTTTCAGCCAGCAGTCTTCATGTTTCTTCTCAGCCTGAAAATCTGTGTTGATGTTAATGCTGGAGAGGAATAATGAGGCATGTTGGACCCTCACTTCCCACGATGGCCTGAACCAG